AAAAAAAAAAAAAAGAAAAGTAATAAAGAGGGGATGAAAAAAAAAAAAAAAAGATCACAAGAGCGCCAGCCACACACTTTAGTGTCCTGGTGAAAGCACCAAGCTAGAAACCAGGAAACTGAAAGTTCTAGTCCTGCCTTAAGCACAAAGCCAGCTTGATGACTTTGGGCCAGCAAATCTAGGAAAAGAAATCCACTGAGAATGAATAAAATCTTCTCAAAATGTCAATTTTAAAGAGTTTTTTAAATCACCATAGTTGAAGAGAAGACACCCTTTTCTTGGGAAAACAACAACTTTATGTTGCAAAACATTTAACTATCCAACTATCATCTTAACTATCATCTTCTGAAGCTTGTATCTGCCTTCTGGAAAATCCCAATTGGAATTAATAAGGAAATTCCTTTCCAATTGAAATAAGAACAATAAAGGATTGCAGTAATATTAAATCTCCCCTCCAGGCCTGGAATGATCCTGTTAATTATCAATGCTGCTTGCTTTTAAAAATCCATCTGTCTAATCCTAAAATGTATTTAACCACACATTTGTTTGGTTAACAGTGTTGCATTGTTATATTGGGCATGCACCTTTTATGAATGGTGGCTCAAATAAGTAGCTGGTGTGCCAATGACTGTGAAATGCCATCCTGGACAAATATATTCCAGAAGCTTTTGGAAGGACTCTGTAACATTTAAATTGGGTCTAAATCTAATCATATTTTTCAATCTGTTGCAGTTGAGGAAGATACATTCATAAAACAAATATTATACATCATTATTTTCTGTTCATGAATGGTATCAATTAAAAATATGACATACAAATTAATTGCACCCAGATAGCTCCAGCTGTACTAAATTTAAAAAGGATAAAAAGTGACCAACACCTTTCTCAAGTAAAGAAGCCAAAACAGGTCCTACTAACCTGCAGTGTACAACTAGTGGGCCGGCATTAGGTGGGCTTTTCGATTTGACCTGCCGGACGAATCCGAGAAGACCCGTAGCATGGTATGGTACACCATGATCTGGCCAGCCAGTGAAGTGGAACTGTCTGATTTCTCTGATTTCATGGGCGCCTCTCTGTTATTTGGTTACAAGAGAAAAAAAAAGAAAAAGGAAAAGCAGCAATAATGAGCATTTTCAAATGACATAGAAAGAACATGCTCCATTTACCCCTTTTTTAAAATTTGAGGACTTTTGGAGTTTACCCCAATCTTCTACCTTATTTACTACCAGAAAAGAGATTGGCATGATGAGGAATAACAACAGGCCCAAGATAAAATACACATTGCTTTCTCTGTCATTGCTTTGTCATTTTGATTATGTAAAGCACCCAGAATCTGGAACTGGACATTCTTTAAATCAGTGCAACAAAGAAATAGGCTAATCAGTTAAAGACAGTCAGCCCTTAGCCAGAAACAATTTTTGAACAAGAATTTAACTTAAAGGTGTTTTAATTTTAACAAGACCATGGATAGAAACATTGAAAAAACTGTTATCTTTGCTCACCTTTTCTACTGCAAATGTTCGAATCACATATTCAGCGAGAAGCTCTGTCTCTATTAAGGTAACTTTAATGTCTTTATATATCTCAGTGTCATCTGGCCAGTATTTACAGCACTTGACCTTTCAGAAATACAAAAGAAAATTAAGGCTTGTTATTTTTCAGTTTGAAGCATTCCTTTAAGCTTTTTGTATTGATTTGCGCTACACAGGCTAATGAGACATAAAACAATCACACTGTCTACATAAGGAATGGACCATGATATTGAAAAAAAATGCATCTTCTTCCAACAAAAATTCTGGGAGTTGAAGACAGGAGTTCGTTTTTTTTCAAAATGGGGGAAAATGTGTACATGTGCATGCACACACAAAGACCTTTCTGTTTGTGCAGTCTGTTTCTTTCAACACTATCACTACTGAAAAAAATATGGCAGTATTGGTCCCAATTGGATTAGCAGGCGAGAAAGTTGAGCCTGTAGTGCAGTGTTTCTCAATCTTGGCAGCTTTAAGAATTCCCCAGCCGGNTAGCAATCAAAATTTTGGGGTCAACTGGGAACATAAGTCGAACATTTGAATAAATACATCATAATGTGATCATTATGAAGTGATCATAATATAAATAGAATAAATTTATAATGATGATCAAGCAAAGCAATTAGTATATTTTAAAGCTCCATATGTTATAAATATGGTGCTAATATTGTACCAAATGGTAGCTAAATTAATATTGTAGTAGATAATGTAATTAAAATTAACTTTCTGATTATCTATAGTATGCTTGATATTGGTAGCTGATTTGAAGTAATTTGTGTATGTGCTAATTTTTGGAAAGTTAAAATTATTTATTATTTGTAATACTTTTTAAGGTGAATTGATCCAAGAAATGAAAATATTTAAAGCATTATACACCATGAATGTTGGCTTACAGGAAAAAGTGCACTTGTTTTGGGTTTGAAGTTTCTGGATTCAAAAGTACTTTGAACACGGAAAGGAAAGGGACTTGCCATTTGATTTACAACACAAATCATTTACAGTCACAGTACTGTATATTAGATTTTTAATCTCAGTTCTCCAAACTGTCTTTACAGTGACTGTGAGTAATGACTACATTTTGGTACAGTAAGTGACCAAAGAAACTAGCTGAGTGTACAGTAAAAAAACTGCTGAGTGTATGAAAGAGTACATAACAATATATCTGATATCACCAAGCTCAGTATTAGCTGAATAGTTTGTACTAGGAATCATAGAGTGGAGAGGGCCATTTAGGCTCACTGCAAGAACTCAAGTTAAAGCATTCCAGACAGATAGCTGCCTAACGCCTATTAAAAGTACATAACAACTGGACTATGCTTTGGACAAATCTGTTGAAGTATTGATGATTTCACTTCCAGCTGGGTGGCTCACGTTGACAAGGAGAGAACCATCAATTCTCAGGGCAGACCAAACTGTTATATAAACATTAAACAGATATTTCTGACTGGTGGAGAAGAATGGCGGAAACTCCATTGACTTGAGAAAGTGGTTGGAAAAGGTAAAAGGTAAAAATATAAACTCTGAAACTAACACATATGTAATAGGTACTCTGATCTAGTGGTTAAGATCCTGGGTTGGAATAGCAATGGCACTTAGATTTATACACTGCTTCACAGCGCTTTACAGCCCTCTCTAAGCGGTTTACAGAGTCCACATATTGCCCTCAACAATCTGGGTTCTCATTTGATTGACCGTGGAAGAATGGAAGGCTGACTCTACCTTGAGCCGTGGGACTCAAACTTCCAAACTGCAGGCAGCCAGCAGTCAGCAGAAGTAGCCTGCAGTACTGCATTCTAACTACTGCACCACCGTGGTCCCTGGAAACTGGAAAACTGTGAGTTTTAGTCCCATCTTAAGCATAGAAGCCAACTAGATGACTGAGCCAGTTATTTTC